TTATTATTTTTTGGTAAATCTGTTTGGTTCAAGGTAAATTATTTTTTTAATAATTATTCCAAATACTTTATTAAAAATTATTATTTTATATATATATAGAAATATTTAACAACGGGTCAAATAATTCAATTCACCATTTCATTTATTCTATCAATTCCATATCTTTACTTTCATTTCACCAATAATTGTAATATGGTTTTACTGCTTTTCTATTCTCAATGTTTTGTAATGGAAGTTTTCTGCTTTTGTTTATTAGATTTTATTCAAAAACTTATAATAATAATAATAATAATAATAATAATAATCGTAACAATAAATAATAATAAACAAGATATTATAGGGAGATTGATAATAGTAGATTGATGAATGATATTGGTTGAGTTATTAATAATTGCTTTGGTTTGTTATAATTATGTAGCTAAATATATACATGTTTATATTATTCAGTAGTGATTATAATAATGTTTTTGATTTTTTTCTCCTATTATTTAAAACGATGAAATAAAAACTCAATCTAATATATTATAAAGCAATAAAGAAAATAAGGATACAATAACACTAAATATTTATTTTCCAATTCCTGGATTAATCAAGTCGAATTTTAAATCTCTCAATATTCAAGTTATGATTGATTATTTATTTTCAATAGATAGCCTAATTGTTCATTATCATTTTAAAGATAATTCATAATGTATTCTTAAACAGGATTTATATATTGTTCATGTAGTTGTTGTTGTTTGTGTGTTTGTGTTGTTGAATGGCGCAGCCGTAATACCAGTCATTGTCATATGATCAGATTCTTGTTTCACCATCATCCAATTTATCATAATTAAGTAAATTTTGTAAAGGATCATAAAATTTTATCATCATCATCAACTGTATTTGCAAGTCCAATTTCATCAAATAAATCATCGTCATCCTCACTTCCTTATTTTTCAAGCCACACTTCATCTTCCTGTTCCTACCTTGCTTATACCTGTTCTCCTCTCTCTTTTTTTTTTGCATTT